ATTTCAACAGCAACAGGTGCTCCATTTCATTTTTCAATGAGGGTGGAAAAGAACCATTTACTCTCCTTTCCCACATCCTGCCTTCACATCATTGCATTCTTGCACTTCGCCATCTAACTGCAGAAAATTCTTTCAGTGATCATTTTCTCACTTCTCTGAAGGATGATGTATAACTAGTATGAGATAGATGCACAGGAGAGAGGTTAATTCATTATAGACAACTGATGCCTTAGGGCCTAAGGGCTCAGTTTTGTGGGGAAACCCAGTTGGGAAGGATTATCATTTATCCATGCACGTCTGTCTTCATAAGACTAAACTCCAGAAAACAGCAGCAATACGGTGTCTGGTACAAAATAGGGCTTTGGTTAAAGTCTATCAAATGAATATGTTCCACAGAGGGGCACGCAAACCTCCAGTCTTCTTTCCTAAAACTGTTGCCAGTCTGAGCCCCATGTCACCTGACTCAAATTCAGAGTAATGGACTATTCAATGACTGGTACTAGATTAGAGCTTCTCTTTTTCCTCTTGAGGGTAGGGGGATATCACAGACTCCTCCAAGAGGCAAAGTTGTATGTCTTCTCAGGAAAACAAAAGTGTCCATATACAAGAATGTGCATATAATTTCAGGAGGTCATGGGCTTTCTCTGGATTGTTAAAAATTAGACTTGAATTAATGTCAAAATCCTAACCAGACAAGTTCTATTTACTTGGCACAAACAAGAACAAGGGGGCCAGACAGGGCTGTCTGGCTTTCAATCCAGGTTTTATCACTTGCTAGCCATGTGAGGTTAGAGAAGCCAACTTGCCTCTCTTAGCCTCAGTTTCCTCCTCTGTAAATTGGGTTAACAATAGTTGCCAATTCTGTGTTAATATTAGGATGAGCTGAGGCAACGTGTGACATGCTTGGCACCGTGCTCTGTACACAATAAATGCTGGTAAGCGAAGCCGTCACTGCCTTCCCTTTAGTCCACAGACTCCACACTACCTCCCACTCCCATCTTCATCATTATTCGCAATTGCACTAGTAACTCCCATGAGATCTCAAGGAACAGGACAGAAAATAAGAGCCCCTAAGAACTTTTAAGATCACAAAACACAGCCCTACTTTTCCCCCCAAATCAAATGCTTGGTCTTAACCTATGAAAGCCCATGTGAGAAGACAGTCGGCAATCCCTTTCTGGGCAAATCCAGGTCAGCTGTCAGCACACAATTGTTCTATTAGGCCAAGTCAATTTTTAGAGGTAGGCCTGTGAAGTTAAAATGGAGATGAAAAGAAGTGTTTGATCAACGCTAAACTGCAGCAACAATGACAGGGAAACAAAGGAGAGGAATTAGTTTCCTAAAATTATTCTCTGTGATACCTTTACTTAACATTGGCTATTTTAAGGACCTTGATCAACCTTTCTAACCCACCATTCAGCTCTCCTCCCAACTCAACTATCTAAAGGAACTGACTTAGTTCTTAAATATCCTCAGCTAACCTTTTTCAAGTCCATTCAGCACTTAATGTAGGATCCAGAAAGGCCGATTTCAAAGTTACACAGAACCTATCACTCAAATTCCTTCTACAAATTAATTTCTCAAGCTTTTCTAAATATTTGACTTCAAGGGGGAAAAAATGCATTTCCACTTTAAAACAATCTTTCATCTCTAGCAATGCAAATTTTCTTTGTTTGTTTAACCAATCCACATACCACTAGCCAGTGTTTAATCAGGTCTTTATTTAACACCACCAACCATGTGAGTTGCACAGCCAAGTCTGAAAGTTTCAGATAATGATCTCATTAACAGCAACAAATTGGTTCAAAGATGAAATATGTATCAATATGTCTAAGAACCCTTTAAAGTCCCACACTTCAGAACTACAGAAGTGTAATTAATTCCTCCAGCATTCAAACTGTATGCCTGACACTCTTACAAGCAAATAGGCTTTACCACTGCATGAATAAGTTAACAGTAATTAATAGCATTTCATACTCACACATTGTTTTCACCTCAACTATCAAAGATGTAGATGTCAAAAATAAATAAAAACCAACTATCTTCATACAGACCACAATGGTGACCTTGGGGTAGTTATTTAAGCGTAAAATGCACAAGGGGAGAACCAAGATTCCTGGTGACATAATCCCAAGGTCTGAATTGCAAGCCCTCTCTCTTTCGACACTACTAGACAGACACAATTCTTAACCAGGCTGCCCCCTACCCTAACACACACAAATGACTGCACAGGTACTGTACTTAAAAGTATCTGGGCAAACCAGACTATGATAAGGTATCTACTGAACAAACATACATGTACACACTCACACACACACACACACACACACACACACACTTTCAATGACATATAATAAGTAGAGGAAGGGAAAAAAAATCAGTAACACAACCCAATTTCTTATCTGAGAATTTTTAAAGGAGAGGTACTCCCAAACAGGTCTTTTCTCCCCTAAACCATGAACAATACTGCTACAGAACCCCACTGGAAGTAACAAAAGCCATGCTATCGTGCTATTTTGCTTTAGATACAGGAAAATTAACTCTGCTCTTAAGACCATAAAACACTAGATAGGAAATCATGCATAGGGTGTTTGTTTGTTTGTTTGTTTGTTTTTTAAGATAGTAAGTAAAAGGTTTTAGAAAGTTCAATGAGAGTATTTAGAAAAAATTATTAATCTGAAGCTGGGCACCAATTTGTTTCTTCTATTTTCTCATTTTTCACAGACACACACACACACACACACACACACACACACAATTACATTCCCTCACAGCAGTCCTAAAACATCAGCTTTCCTTACAAAAACCTTTTTCAGGGCCAGCCAACAGGGGCCACACCAGTTCCTTCAATCAGACAGTATTCGCAGAACTAATAAAAGCATGCCAGCCTTTGTACACACACAGCCCTGAAAGCCACACTGCACTCTGCCCATGGACACAGAGGTTCAACAAGTCGGCCACTACAATAAAGTTATTAAAGATATACAGAAATGACTATTCAGACAGCTCAGATAAACTCACCAACATTACTGCAGTTATAAGTGAATTAAGGACACTTATTAGTGATTGCTTAACAGGTAAACTTATTAAATATCATTTAAGTCATTTTTCTTTACTTAGCAATTGTTGACAATTTTCCAGGGGGGCCTAGGCTAATGGACTATAAAAGAGTTAGATAAGCACTTCAAAAAGTTTCAAAAGAGAATAGATTCCTTCTGCCAAATTCACACATTATCTCCCCACTCACAAGAATAAAATAGTTACAAATGGTGTGTTTAAACTGCTAATTTTGTATTAAAGAGCAAACCCAAGATTATCTCTAAAGCACAGCACTACTCATAATGGATAGCTCACTAGACAAACTACCCTTGGAGAAAGAATACAAGTTAAAACACTGCAGATAAAAATCACAAACTTCAAAAGTCAAACTTCAAATAGTGAAGTGCCACGTTAAAACATCTTTTTTTTTTTTTTGGAAGGCTGTAAGTCAAACATTTCTAAAGCCATCAGAGCACAGCGAAAACCTCAAAGAGAGACAAGGAGTCACAAGGAGCAAGATTTAAAATTCAAACTATTCTTGAATGCTGCAATTGAAATGTTTAGAAATCTTCAGCAAAGCATCATCTCTAAAGCTTATAAATTAAAGAACTTAATTATAACATTTTTTTAAAAGTCCAGAAGCATTTAACGGATGTAGTTAAGGGGCTCAATCAACGTGTTTCCCCTTTTATTTACCCCGCAAAAGTTTAAGATGGGGATAAGAGCCCTGGTAAAGCAATGGTGCTGATTAATAGCATGGGCTTAGGTACCTCCCTCAGCTTTGTAAGGACACACCTGGAGCCAGGCTGCACAGCTCCCTGTCCTATCCACACAGGGATTTTGAGTCTGCACTAGAGGAGGGAAAAGGAAGAGAAGGAAGAGGCTGTCTACGCCCTGGGCTGCTGTGCAATCATTCCATACAGTTTCCTTCTCTTCATTCATAACTCACCCAAGAGCAAAGCGCAGAAGGCCCAAAGCTTAGGCCCTGCAGCCCTCCAATCACCCGAAAAAGTTCAAAGACAAGCCAACCATTTGAAATCACTCCCATCCGAGGCGCGCTTATTAACCGCCATAAGTGCGCTGGCAGTCTAGTAACCAGTTGATAAAATCACGGCCAAGGAAGCGGGAAGGCATCCACCCTAACCATCCGCAGAAGCTTCAGTTGAGAGTCCCTCCTCCAAAGAGGAGGCACAGCTTAAAGCTCTCCCCAGCTAGCTTCCTTTGGAATGCAAACCTCTCTCACTTGGAACAAGGTGGAGGCCCTGTCAGCGAGCGATCCCGTCTCCCGATTTGCAGGCCCTCCGCGTTAGTCCTTGGCCGGGAGGCTGGCGGGCAGTCATCCTCCCACCCTCTGCAATGTGAGGCACGCAGCGAGGGCTGCCTCGCACAGCCAGCCCAGGGCACCCTCGATCCCCACTCCTCGGCCAGCTCCATCAGCTCCCCTGCCTGCTGCGGCTAGTCCAGAGCCCCGCAGGTGGGCCGGCGGTGTCCAGGTGAGGCGGCGCAGGTTCCAGGGAGGAACCTGATGTTACGCAGCCCCTCAGACAAACCTGGCCGCACCCAAACAGAACATGCACGGGAGGAACGCAAAGCCTGCAACCTGAAACAAGCCGCCCCATCCTTCATCACTTGTCTTTCCAAAGTTGGCATTCAACAGGTAGTTCCCGGGACTTCCACCTGAGGCAGGCCGACATACCCAGCCGGCTCTAGGGGGCCGCCGCAGCGTGGGTGCGGGGCGGGGGTCCACCGCCCGCCTCCTGGACCCGCGGGAGGTCGAGCCCCCACGTGCGCTCGCCCCCGCCGCGGCGCCCCGAGCGGCCGCCCGCGCCCGCCGCCCGCCGCGGGGAGGGATGCCGCCGGCCTCCAGCCGCCCCGCCGCCGCCGCGGCGGGGTCGGCGGGCGCAGCCCCCGGAGCCATCTTGTGGCGGCGGCGGCGCGGGGCCCGGGCGGCGGGCAGCTACCTGCACGATCTCGCCCTCGGCACTGAGCGTGGCCCCGGCCCGCGAGAAGCGGCCCGTGAGGCCGGTGGTGTAGGTGGTGTAGTCGCCGCTAGGACTTGACTCGAACAGCACCACCTCCACGAACGCCGTCTCCTTGGCCCGCGCCGCGCCGGCCCCCGCGGCCGCCGCAGCAGCCGAGCAGCAGCGGCAGCGCGCGGCCGGCGGCAGGCGGCGGCCGCGGGGCGCGGGGCGGCGGGAGGCGCGCGGCGCGCGGCCCGGGGCCTGGCGCCGCCGGCGCGGCTCATGGTCTGCGGCGGGAGGGCGCGGAGGGCGGGCGCGGCCGGGCATAGTCGCGGGCCGGCGGAGGACCGAGCGCGGGCGGACGCCTCACAGCCCCATCGCGGCGGCGGCGGCTTTGTGGGTCGCAGGCTCCGCTCGGCTCCCCGGGCCGTCGCGCCGCGGCCCTTTCATCTGCTCCACGTGAGGGGTTATCCCCGCCCCGGCAGCGCCGTGACCCGCTCTCCCCTCCCTCCCCGCGCTCGGCCGCAGCCGCGGTGGGGAGTAGGCAGGCGGGGCGGGCGCGCCTGCGGCGGGAGGCGGGGCCCGGCGGCTGGGCACGCCCCTCCCTCGCCCCGCCCCGGCCCCGCCTGCGCTCCGCCCCTGCATCATCGCTCCGCCCACCGCCCGGCTCCGCCCTCCGCCCTCCGTCTGCATTCCACCCCTTCGTCCTCGCTCCGCCCCAGCCCGCCGTCTTGCTCCACCCCTTCACCCTCGCCCCGCCCCGCCCGCCGACTTGCCCCACCCCTCCAGCCTCGCTCCGCCCCCCGCCCGTCGTCCCTACTCCGCCCCTTCGCCCTTGCCCCGCCCCCTCTGCTGCGCTCCGCCCTCGCCGGCAGACATTTCTGCTCGCGGTTGCTGGAGTTCGGCGGGAATGGGGACTGCAACCTGCTCCCGAGTGACGCGCGTCCTCTCTGGTGGCCTCACGCGTCCTGGTCCGGTGCTGGAGTTAGGGCCATTCGGGCGTGGAAAGCCTTGCCCTTCCCGGCTCCCCCGCCCCAATTCACAGTCCATAGGAAGCTTGGGCACCTGCCCAGGGCCTTCGTCCCTACCCCCACCTCGACCGTCAAACTGGAAAGGCCCCAGCGGCCAGCGGCCATCTGCACCTCGGCCACGCTGGGATGTGTCAAGGTCGTGCACAGGTGTCGCTCAGGCAGTTACTCTCACCTGGGAGAGAGGGGGAAGACCTTGAGGAAGTCCTTTGGATCCTGATGGAGTTACCGTTCTGCAGCCCCAGAGACTAATTCAAGCACCACCCTTAAAAGAAGTTCTGAAACTTTGTGTCTGGCCATATGCAACAGGCTGAAGGAGTCCAACACCATCACCCTCTGTGTACAGACTGAGGGCTGCTAAATTAACATATCTAAGGCCGAGCGCGGTTGCTCACTCCTGAAATCCTAGCACTCTTGGAGGCAGAGGCGGGCAGATCGCTGGAGGTCAGGAGTTCGAAACCAGCCTGAGCAAGAGCGAGACCCCCGCCTCTACTATAAATAGAAAGAAATTAATTGGCCAACTAATATATATAGAAAAAATTAACCGGGCATGGTGGTGCATGCCTGTAGTCTCAGCTACTTGGGAGGCTGAGGCAGTAGGATTGCTTGAGCCCAGGTGTTTGAGGTTGCTGTGAGCTAGGCTGATGCCATGACATTCACTCTAGCCTGGGCAACAAAGTGAGACTCTGTCTCAGAAAAAAAAAAAAATATCTAAAACATGTGCTCAAGGACCCAGGGGTTCCAGTCACCCAGAAAATAAACTTTTAATTCACTGTCCCTTTTTTGGAACGTGCCTTTTCCTTCCTCATCTAATCCTCTGAGAATTGAATCCTTCCTTCGAAAGCTGAATTCAATTCCCACTTACTATGTGGAGCCTTCCTTCCCGGACCAGAATGGCTTTGTTCAGATATTTGCAAATATTTGGTTAGGATGACCCACTTCTACTTGCTACCACACCCAAAATATTAAAAAGAAAAGAAAACTCATTGAGAATTATGTTGAGTAAACGACCTACCAAGGTTACATTCTAAAGTAGAAAAAAATATTTTCAACATGTGGAAAAGAAAATGCACTTCGAGAAAAATTCACAGATCTGTGTTACAGGGTTTGGACCACACAGAGTTCAGGAGGGAGTTACTCTGAGAAAGCAGGGCTCTGGTTGGGGGTGGGGGTGGGGTTGGCTTTCTAGTTTCTCCAAAACCAAGTCTAACCAGTGCTGACTGCAACTGGGCACTATCAGTCCTTGGGGGAAAGACAATCGCTACAATCTGTGTATGACCCTTTGCAATTCCAGGTCCCCATCAACTGATAAATGGATAAACAAATGAGGTCTATTCATACAATGGGATATTACTTTTCAAGAAATGAAATGGTGGTGGGCATGGCGGCTCACGCCTGTAATCCTAGCACTCTAGGAGGCCAAGGCGGGAGGATTGCTCAAAGTCAGGAGTTCAAGACTAGCCTGAGCCAGAGTGAGACCCTGTCTCTACTAAAAATAGAAAGAAATTAGCTGGACAATTAAAAATATATAGAAAAAATTAGCCGGGGACATGGTGGTGCATGCCTATAGTCCCACCTACTCTGGAGGCTGAGGCAGGAAGATGGCCTGAGCCCAGGAGTTTGAGGTTGCTGTGAGCTAGGCTGATGCCACGGCACTCTAGCCTGGGCAACAGAGTGAGATTCTGTCTCCGAAAAAAGAAATGAAATAGTGATACGTGCTACAACATGGATGAACCTTGAAAATATTATGGTCAGTGAAAGAAACCAAACCCCAAAGCCTACACACTATAAGATCCCATTTATATCAAATGCCAAGAATATGCCGGGCGCTGTGGCTCACGCCTGTAATCCTAGCTCTTGGGAGGCCAAGGCGGGCGGATTGCTCAAGGTCAGGAGTTCAAAACCAGCCTGAGCAAGAGCGAGACCCCGTCTCTACTATAAATAGAAAGAAATTAATTGGCCAACTGATATATATATATAAAATTAGCCGGGCATGGTGGCGCATGCCTGTAGTCCCAGCTACTCGGGAGGCTGAGGCAGGAGGATCGCTTGAGCCCAGGAGTTTGAGGTTGCTGTGAGCTAGGCTGATGCCATGACATTCACTCTAGCCTGGGCAACAAAGCGAGACTCTGTCTCAAAAAAAAAAAAAAAAAATGCCAAGAATAGACAAATCTATAGAAACAGAAAGTAGATTGGTGGTTGCTAGGGGCTGGGGGGTAGGCAGGAATGGGTTTCTTTGGAAGGTGATGAAAATATTCTGGAATTAGATAATGGTGATGATCATACGACTTTGTAAATATACTAAAAACCACCAAATTGTACACTTTTAAGGGGTGAATTTTATGGTATGTGAATTATATATTAATACAGCTGTAGAAAAAATTCAATCTTCAGTGGTATTTTCATGTAAACACACACACATACACACAGGATACTGTCTAAGTATATCCTCCACTCTTTAAATCCTTAGCTCAAATCTCACATCTTCAACAAGGACAACCCTGACTATTCCACTTAAAACTGCAATGTGCCCCCCATGTCCCAGTCCCAACCTCCCTTGGCCTGCGCCCCCCACCTCTGTGGCATTTATCACCTTCTAACATGATAAATAATTAGCTTATTTATTTTTCTCTGTCCTCCATGCCCACATACACATATGCCAGAGAACAAGTTCTATAATGGAAGAGATTTTTGTCTTGTTCACTGACTTAAGCCGAGGCTGCCTGGCCCAGAGTAGGCACTCAATAAATACTTGTTGCATGAATTAATGACTAAATGAATGAGTGATAAGGTCATCGACATGTATCCCTCCCATTTTGCAGACATTTGGGGCAACTTGTTAGCAGCTGCTTGGAAACACTGGGCTTCATGGGACCAAAATAAATTCGGAGTGTGGAGAAGAACAACAGTCCTTTCCTCAAGAATTACAATGAAAACCCAGACGAGGATCAGAAGAGAAACTGGTTTTGATTTTTACAACTCTGCTTAAAAGAAAGATATGGTTAATAAGACATAGGCCAGTAACACAGAGGTAACATGATTCATCTCTCTGCATTGAGAAACTGTTTAGAAAGGAGGTATTTACTGAGTAATGAAGTTTCACCAAAATCTGGCAGGCGGTAAGGGGAGATAAAAAATAATTTCAAATAAGAGATAAGACCAATCAGCTAGGGCAAGGACAGGATCAGCAAGCTGGATCAAATGCTAGAAGTGATGCACATTCATTATCTGGTGTGGCACATCCCTAGCAGATCATCTGGGTGTAACTTACTCCTTTCTCTACTTATCAGACACAGCTCAGATGAAAATAACTGAAAACAGGTGCATCAGCATTGGTTAAAGCTGCCAGACCTTTAGCAAATGTCACTGACTTAGGCCAAAAACCACACAAAGCTTCAGGAAATTTTCTGCCATCAAAGTTCTATTTGTATGACCAAATAGAGAAGTTCCAGGATTTCAAATTCATAAATATATGCTTTAGTACCTAAAGAGACTGTATAAAACCAGATGTGGATATTCACCGCAGTATTGTTTTTAATAATAAAAGGCAGGAAACAACCTAGGTGTCCCTCAACAGGGCATTAGTTAAATAAATCATGGTACATTAGTTAAATAAATTATAGTATATCCATTTAATATATAGTGGAACAGATATTAAATAGCCATTAAAAAGAATGAAGAGGCCAGGCACAGTGGCTCACGCCTGTAATTCTAGCACTCTGGGAGGCCAAGGCAGGCTGATTGCTCGAGGTCAGGAGTTCAAAACCAGCCTGAGCAAGAGCAAGACCCCATCTCTACTATAAATAGAAAGAAATTAATTGGCCAACTAATATATATAGAAAAAATTAGCCGGGCATGGTGGCGCATGCCTGTAGTCCCAAGCTACTCGGGAGGCTGAGCAGGAGGATCGCTTGAGCCCAGGAGTTTGAGGTTGCTGTAAGCTAGGCTGATACCACGGCACTCACTCTAGCCTGGGCAACAAAGTGAGACTCTGTCTCAAAAAAAAAAAAAAAAAAAAAAAAAAAGAATGAAGAAACTCTATGAACTTATATGGAACAATCTCTAATATATACTGCTAAGTGAAAAAAATGTGCATATGATATGCTACAATGGAAGGAGGTCAGTTGGGGACACAACAAATACATGAA